TTCTGCAACTTATACGCTTTCCGCACAAGGTTTCGTGCGTGTACAAGTAGTGTGCGATATTTCTGGATTCACTCCTCTAGAGTTGAACGGGTCCTTTTGACTTGGATCCATTCACTTATTGATGATTTGGAGGAGGGGGCATTTTCTCGCTGTTAGGGCGCTTGACGCTTCCTGAACTTTAGATCCGACTAGTAACAGATCCCGTCGATCAGCTCTAAAGCCTTAGCGAACTGGCATGTGAGGCATTGACGTTGCCTTTGACGTGCCCTCTTCGATAAGATTGGCACGCCTTCAGTACTCAACTCCCTAATTGAGGAGGAGTTCAGATCTGTAACTCCGACTTCATTGGAGGTCAGAGGGGCGTTGCGAGGTGCAGCTACTGTAGCAACGGTGGCATTGATCTTCTTGCAGTTACAAGGTGTGGAGGACCTAGAGGATGAGGACGACAAATACTCCTCAAACTTGGTCTGGTCAAACTCGTACTAGACCTCTACGTCAACTGGGATCCGGATCCGAGGTTACGACACATCAGCCTTCACAGAAAGGCTGTTGGCTCCCACTATGGTCACTAGCGTATTTGGTTCAGAAATTATTTTTTTCATTGTATAACTCGTTACAACGAGTTCAAAAAAGATTGGTCTTTTTATAAGACCTTTACACAATAAAAATAAAAATTACAATCTCCTTCAAACAACACACAAATCCTATTTATTAGTCTCTGTTTGCGTGAGATCTTTGCCTGTACCGAGGTTTATCTGTGGACCGCCTACGGATCATATTTTTTTACCATCAAAGTTCCTACTTCACTAAGGAAGTATTCGCTAAAGTACTGATATCGACCAAGCAAAATTAGTACTATTCTCAAGATTAAGACCAAGCCTAATCTCAAGGAAAGGGGGACGGAGCTTCAGATCCTTTGAAAGACTCCTTCTTTATGCCGAAGTTCGTCGGGATCTAGCTAGCCTCCTCTGAAATTCTGTGCTCCTTGACTCTTCAATCCAGCAACACCTCCTCGTCTTGATAATAATTCGCCCCCTTGAAAGGAGGCCCTAGGCTTGTATTTATTGGGCCCCGGATGTGGTTATTTGGATGAGAATGGAAGATTTGGCCTTATCTTCAGTCAATAATGGCCTACCCACGTGTAGAGATAATATCAAGTCAGTTGGAAACTTCTAGAATGAAGAAATCCCAAAAGAACCATCAAAATACCCGTTTTTGGACACCGAGGCATTTCTGGGCACGGATCAGCCCGGGGTGACTCGCGCGTGAGAGGGTCACCAGGTGGTGACCTATGTGCTGCGCGGTTTCCGAACTTTTTTAGAGGTCTTTTGCGCCGTTTTGCGTATTTTGACATTCAGTTGACTTGTATGCTTCACTGACTTGCTTTGTGTACTCGTTAGCCTCTTTATGGCTTCGGACTATCCTCTTTGACTCAAATGATAATATTCATTGTCTTCTTTTTGTCTCGAGCTGTGTGCGGACACCTATAGATATTTTTAGACGCTTACAAGGTGTCATATTCTCATCCACTCATTTCAATTCCCAACCACTCTCTAACCCATATGAATGTAGGCCCTAATTTCAATGAGTGGAGGAGAATAAGTCACCTCACTACCAAGCATAAAAACCTGTGCTTGGTACCAAGCGAGTAGATAAAGGGTCAAAACACAATGGGTTCATCCCAAAATTGATGTGTTTGGGTTTAAGAACGTGTAGATCAAGTTCAACGGAGCGGATCACAAAAAAATTTAGAAAATGATGGTTTCTCATTCTTATATATTCTCTAATCCATGTGAATGTGGTCCCCTATTTGAATGAGTGGATAACAATGAATCATCTCACTACCAAGCACAAAAACTTATGCTTGGTACCAAATTCCTCCATATTGCTCATACACACACACACAATATGGATAATCAAATTATTTGAAGAGATGAAAAGTTAATTGGAAAGTTTAATTAAAAGATATTGAAAGATAAATAAAAATGATAATGTACTTAATTCAACAAAATAAAAAATTAAATAATATTAAAATATCATTTATAATGAAAAACGAACCACTATGTAAAAATTGTAGACTTTAGACCATAAGAATATTAAATCTCTTTGGCAGACATTTTTTTATATGAAAACTTATGTTGATGCTATACCCTAAAGTTTTGCCCGTTACGAGACAACACCTTAAAACTTATTGTTTAAAATATAATTTTTTAATAATTTGTTTAAATTATAAACTTAATATTAAAAATAATTTAATAATATAGGTTAATCTATAGCTGTACCATGAATGACAAACTAGTATGAAGAAGAAAATTCAAATACAACCATTTTTCATCGTTACTCTCCCTTTTCCTCTTCTTCTCAACCAAACAAAATCACATAACAATCACATATATAATAAGGGTTAATTTTAGAAAACCCTTAAATTTTAAGGATTTTGCACAAAACCTATTGAACATTTTTATCTTACAAACCCTTTGTACTTTGGGATTGTTAGGTCTCATATTATGAGCCTACATATTCTAATCTTGTTTTGATGATTTTACAAACAATCCCTAATATTATTTGTCTAGTGTTTGTGTTTATTCATTAGGTATTATAGACAAACAACATGTTGGAGGTTGGATGGAATTAAGCATCACGATCATATACGTTGGAGGTTGGCGGAATAGTGGAATGAAGCCTATGCATACTAGTCAAGATCCAAGTTCAAGCTTCATCCATGTTTACCAAGACAAGCTACAATCAATCAAGCTTGGGTAAATTAGTTTAGGTTTTATATTATGTGTGTTGATACTTTAAGCTCAATTATATACACACATACACGTTTTGGTTTCATAGCTTTCAAGTTTAAATATGAAACAATTACACTTATCTATATACATACATACATACATGTTTCATATTTATCATTTTTAGTTTATTCATTTTGTAACTTATCCACATAGAAAACAAGTTTTTTGTAAATCATAGATTTATTCATATATTTATTTATGGATAAGTTGTTTTTGGTATAGCTATATAGATATGAAACAATATATATCTTCATATATACATTTATGTGTTTCATATTCTATAAATTTGCAAAATTATATGTTTATGGATTGAAGACTTGTTTACACTATTTTTATATCTTGTATAAGTCTATAAATCCATTCAAAATGTTTCAGGAGTTTGTTTAAGTCATTTTGTCAAAATCATGTGTTTTCGAGATTTCGTATTTTAAGTGATTTTAAAAAACGATGAGATTTCACAAATGGAAAGTGCTTTTTGAAAACCAGTTTTTATAACATGTTCATTTTCATGTTTACAAGTATTCCCCAAAGTTTTATATTTTTTGGATTTTATGTGCTATTTTTAAAGACGTGTTTAAAATCAGATTTTCAGCAAACCTGTGCATATCTGATATGTCGGTTTGTGGTCGACCGCCATGGTCACCGCGGTCGACCGCGAAATGTCCAGAGAGCAATCTCTGGATTTCAGCTCTTCGCGGTCGACCGGACCTGGCACTGCGGTCGACCGCCAGTATGACTGTTGCACAGTAGCAGCTAGTTTCTAGTTTTGTTTTTGTGCGTGTTTTTGATCATTTTCTTTGGGTTTTTGCTGTTGTGTTGGGTTGGTATATATACCCCTCAGCATTAAACTCTCCCACCAACCAAGAGAATGTTTTAAACAAGTTTTAGAGAGTTTTAAGTTTGTGTTTAAGTGTGTTTAAAGGTGTTTAAGCCTTGTTTACAAGTTTGGTTTTTTGAAGAGATTTTCACAAGACTAGAGGAGATCATCCATTCCTTGTTTGGGCTTTAAATCCATTCTCTCTCTCTCACTGTTGATTACTAGAGAAGTTTCCCTTTACTTTTTCTAGCTTTATATTTATTTGTTTGTTAATTATTTTTATTAAAGCTAGATTTATATTGAGTTTAGATTTGATTTGATTTATCTTTTTGTTCACACACAACCATTGAGCTTATTGTATTTGCATACATAGTATATATTGGGGTTGTGGGATTGTGACATTGAGAGTGAGTCTTAATTGAGTTCTCATCTATTGTAGAGAGCAAACGTTATATTTGTGCTTAATTTGTGAGATCATTTTGTAATACACTTGTACACCGAGAGGAGTGTGTCGTGAGAGATGGGTCGTCCCAAGAGGAGTGATGTCGGTAGTAAAGCCTAGGGAGAGGTTGTAAATCCAAGCACTTGAGGGAGACACGAGCTAGAGACCAACACTTAGAGGGTCTAGAGTGAAATTGCAAGAGTATTGATTGTAAAGTTTTCGGTGAGCTAGAAATCCGAGTGTGAGGTGTAAACATTTTTGGGTGAATGTTGAAAACCCGGTTGTGATAGTGGATTTCTCCTCGGGAGTGGGGAGCGGAGACGTAGGTGAGAAGACCGAACATCGTAAACATCTCCGTGTGTTTGTGTTGATTGTTTGCACTATCACACTTTCATTGTGTGCTTGTTTTCTCTCTTGTTTATATATCCTTGCATATATCTTTTGTATATCACATTGCTAGGATATTGCATTTATTTATATTGCATATTCTTGCTCATATTAATTTGTATATCATACTTGCAAGAATACATTCATTAGAAGTTTTAATTTGACATAAATCAGATTAGATTAGCACATTACCCTATTCACCCCCCTCTAGGGTTCTAATTGGGATGTCTCACAAACCTCTAAAATTTTAAATTATCTTCACTACCCTCTGTATCTATAATCGGTAAATTAAAAAAAAAATTGTTAAGAGAAAAAACCCTGATTTTTTCATTTGCTCAACAACGTAAATCCCTTCTGTGGAGATGGCTTTTTCTCTGAAAGACGCTTTAATTATTTGCCAGTTACAAATAGAAAATTCGTGATGAAAGTTAAAAGTTCATGGGGTTTTGCGAGGTCCCAAAAGTTGAGGGCGTCCCATACAAAACATCCAAAGTTCGGGGTTTTATTAAATTAATCCAATAAATAACATGAAAATCATATAAAATATTGATTACCAAACTTCGTTTCTTTTCCCCGACCCCAACCCCAACCCCTCTCTCAACGAAGACTTTTTCCCCCTGAGTCACGTCTTTCGATTTCTCCTCCTCACCGCTCGAAGATGCACGGCGGCCCATCTGGATTTAGTAACCCCTTTCTTTCTCTCTCTCCCTCTTTTATTTTGGATTTTCTTGGGTATTTTTTGCTTGATTTCCCCCTTAATTTCGTTGTTTCTTTTGCAGACAATGCTCCGGTGACCAGGACGGTTGTGATCGCGAGCGGTATCCTCACCGTCATCTTTGGCATCAGAAGCCGTTCTATTAGGCTTGGGTTATCTTATCAGGTGCTTTCCCCTTCTTGATTTGATAGTTTTATGTGATATTGATCAATGTTTTAAAAAGCCTCCGCCTAGGCGTACACCTAGGCCTAAGCTGTATCTTGACCGCCTAACTAGCGCCTACCGTCTAGGCGGTACCTAGGCTGCCCACCTAGGTTTTGAGAGCGCCTAGGGGAGCATGGTCAGCATATATGGGCTGCACCTTTAGACATTGATCGTGATTTTCTTCATTGCAACTTCCACATCCTCCAACCTCCTCCAAGCTCCAACTATGAACACCTCCTCTATCTCTCCCAACCTTCAACAGAAGCTCCTCCACCACTACTTAAGAAATCTGTCTAGGGTCAGTCCAGCGCCTAAACTTTCTATAACACTGACATTTACTATCACTAATTGTAATAAAAAACTAAAAAAATAAGAAAACGCCTCGTCCCTGTTTAGGCTCTAGGCGTTTGGTCCAATGCCAAACTCGCCTAGTGCTTTCTGTGACCTTGATTTTGGTTGATTTGTATTGGGTAGTTAGTTTTCTCATCTGGGTGTTTGTTGAATTTGTTGATAGAAGTTGAAGGTTGCAGTATTTTAATATTTTGGTAGATGGGCGTTTGTTTTTTGGGTTTTTGGGGTGGGTGGGGGTGGGAGCGGGGGGTGGTTAGCTAGAAATGCAATGCAATAGGAATTCATCACATCAAGGGTTGAGAGATGCCTTATAGACTTGTTTCCTTTTGAGGAGAACTTCAAAAGAAGGAGATGTTGCGCTTGGAAATAATCTCATCATTGAAAACTAGGGGTAGGCGTGCCTCTTCGTTTAGACTCGTTCCTACTCTATGAGAATTGGGATTATTGCTCCTTGACTCTCTCCATGGCCATAAGAGGTACGTCTTGCCACCATAATACTTCTGTTTGAGATTTAGGGGCTGAGGTGCACAAAACACTGGCGACTCTACTCATTATTAGTCATTTGTTCTCATTAGTCATAAGTTTAGTGTAATTAATATCAGTTTCCGTTGCTAAATACAACTGCCAAAAGGGCTGCAGAAACATTCTTGAATTGCTTTGTCTATCCCTTTATTGTTTTTGTGGCCATACAGTTTAGAAGTAATGTGTACGCTATAGTTGTTTGTTCACATCTTTAGCTCGATTAAAGTATGCATCAATAATCCTTGGTGAAGTCAGCATGCCTAGTTGCCTTGCATTGTGTGGTGGCAATCTATTTTGCTCCTTAGCTATGTTGCACAAACGCAGACGCAGGACACACGCACACATCAAGATACATATATGAAAACTCAAAAATCTAGAAACAGCTATGACATAGACACTCCAGATACATGTATAAGATATTATTATATATAAATGTGGATACCAGATATGCGCTGCCACCCATTTCGTCAAATGAGCTATCAAGTTATAGAAGTGGTGGACTTCACCTATTGCAATGTCACTAGCTTTGTGGGTTTCACCGCTTGTCTATCTCTTCTTAGCCCATTAAGAAAAATGAGTTGGCACCAGATACTCATTTTTTTCCTGTATAAATGTAAAAGAAATTAAGATCAGGCATGATAAATCTTGAGGTTCACATTGATGAATTGTATATCATAAAACTCTAAACACCCAACCATATAACTCGTGGAAAACAATGACTCAAATTTAGCCCTAGGCTAGTATGAGACCAAACAGGTGTTAAACATGTCCAACAAGTATCTTGTATATTCTGGTGCAAATTATGCTTATAGACGCAGATAGAGTGACCTTTAATCTGTATCCATGCAACATAGCTCTTTACGGGAGAGTTTGCCTTTAATATCAATTCACACACAAGAAAGCTTTTACTATTTCTAAAGGAGAAAAGGCTTTCGGGGAAATAATTAATCTATAGATATGTGTTGTCTACTTACATGCCTATCTTAGCCCTCTAATCCCAACCACTAGAATAGTACAATGCTTATTAAACGTAATTAAATAAATGGGGAGATAAATTATTCTATCTGCTTGAAGAAAGTAGATTTTCTGCATCATCTAGAGAGGAAAATTTAAGCCTAAACTGACTCCTTTCGATGTAGTATTTGCTTGGCCTTGACAGCTACAAAAAATATTCTCATACTGATGCATAATATTTCCAAACTGGTTTTATAGTATAAATTGCATAAAAATTTGTATTTCAAGGGTTTCAAAATGTCCTTTCTACATCTTAGTAATGAAACTTTTGGAATTTTATCGGTCAATTGTTGAATCTTTGGTACTGTACTTCGCTTATCTTGATGCATGTGGGTTGTTATTTTAACACACAGGTAGCTATTGTTTCACTTTTTTTATTATCCTAGTTAGTAAGGGTAGCTCAGTGCATGATACTTCCACCATTGTGGTCTATGGGGAGGGTCAATGTACGCAGCCTTACCCGCGTATGCGAAGAGACTGTTTCCAGGATTTGAACTCATGACCTCCAAGTCATAAGGCAACAACCTTACCGTTGCGCCAATGTTCACCCTCTTTTATTATCCTAGTTAGTCCTGTGTAAATTCTTTTGCATGTAATGTGAAGGCACATGCCTCTGTTGTATTTAGATGTTCTTGTTTAGTAGGCGAAACTAGGCCAGATTAGATTATGGTCCTGCACGGTGGCTTACTAGTGGTTAGGGTACTTCAGGGAGATGGTTTAAAGATGTTTGGTGGTCTGGCAAGTGATATGACTATGTTTGGTAACCAGGATGGTGCGATATCACTATCTGGATATTCATAATCCTAAATTCCTAATAGAAAAAACATATATTAAAAATTGTGATAATTAATAAAGTTTGGGACATGTTGCACAACAAATTGAAGGTTATAACTAGGGAAATAAAAAGAAAATATAGCTTGAAAGGGTCTGATGCTAAAAGAAGAGAGGATAGGAACTTAGGGTTAATTGTGATAGACCACCTGAACTATCACCCAATTGTGGATAGACCCATGTAGTTCTATTATTGCATATGGATCCCCTGAATGAAAATTTTGTGACTCTACCCTCAGGAGGTCTATTTGTCAGAAAATAATTTCCTCTCTGAGGGTAAAAGAGTCAAAAGGATTTATAGTCTATCTGCAAGAATAGAACTACAGGGAGTCTATCTACAGTTGGACTATAGTATAAAGGGGTCTCAGCTATTTCCCAAGAATTTATGATTTTCAATCATATAATGAAAGAATACTAAATGTTGTGCATGCTATCCTAGAAGTAACCTATGTTTAGAGGTGGATATATAAAGTAAATAGTGAAAACTATATTTGAACTATGTTTTGTATGGCATATATGTAAAAGTAATTACTGGAGAACTATATAATAAGGACCCCTTTCATTAGCAGCATGAGAAGCTTCAAAAGGCTTTCTTGTGTCGATTAATTATACCAAGTAGAATTCTAGACTAGAGATTTAGGTGTCGGAATCTCCCACCTTGAGGTTGTGTGAAAGTGAATCTCAATGATTCCCATGATGGAACTTCATCAGGAGCTGCTTGTAATGTTTGTTATGCAATTGGAAGTGCCGCTGAAGTGTTAGGAATTTCAATTTTCTGGATCTGCAGTAGTACAGTAGATGTTAGAGGAAAGTATAATGTATCCTTTATTCGTGCTTAAACACGAATAAGAAAGTCTCTGGTAGAGAATGCTTTGAATTGCTGATATGCGTCGTTTCTGCTACCAGGATATATCATGTTCCAGTTCATAAAATGGGGCTAATGGATGGGTAATTTGGCTACTGACTGGGTGGCGAATTGGTGTAGTTGTACCCTTGGGACAATGCCCTGTTTTTGGACCAAGGTTTTAAATATCGGATATCGGGGAAATATCGGATGACCAAAATTCATATCGGATTGCGGATATCGGGGAAATATCAGGGATATGTGGTAAATATCAGAATGCCATAATGAATGTTTGCATACATAGTATAATGCATTAAAATGTAATCTTAACATATGTAATGAAATTTAAGCATACAAAATATGAATAATATATGTTTAGGATCACTAATCAACCTTCTAAAACAAACAAAAGTGCAAAGCAACGTTGCAACATTCGATCTGCTTTTTTAGGACGCAATGTCATTTGATATAATGGGGAAATCTTGATATCTCGCTCAAAAATTCCAAACACGGTATATTATTTTGCAACAAGCTCTATAAAAAGATATATTGGTTCACATATCGGTTAATATATCGGTCATATCAGGGATTTATCACTCAAAATAGCCAACAAGCGGTAAAGGATATTTAAAGACCATATCGGTTGCGGCAAGCCCTGTAAAAGAATACATCGGGGGATATATCGGGCCATGTCGGGGATATTTAAAACAATGTTTTGGACCAAATCTCTTTAAGAATTTCTAACCATTTTTCTTAAGTGTGATGTAGACAGTTTCTGGTGTGTGAGAATGTATTGCTGATAGCAACTATTTAGGAGAAAAGAAAAAGAAGAAAATTTAGAAAATAGAAAAGATAAAAAACAAGAGAGTATGCACGGCTAGAAACATAGTAAGATTTTATCTATATAATTATCAATCTTAACCTTATATATACAACAACAACAACAACAAAGCTTTTTTCCCATATGTTTGGGGTTGGGCCAGTTGGCCACATGAGTCTTATTCTTCCATTCCGTTCTATTTTTTGCCACCCTTTCTGTTAAGTTAACCATTATCAAATTGTAACCTTATAAGTATGCCTATGAATAATGTGGAACAAAAAGAAGTCATGTTGATCATCCCAGTTGTATTGCAGCCTTTCTGATAGATTTAGTTTGATGTTTGTGTATATCAGATTTTGGGAACATTCACATAAACTTGATTTCTTTGTCTTATGTTTTATAGGATACCAGTAACTATGTTTCTGTTGGCAAGAATGTGCTGGACTTTCAGAGAGTAGAAATTAGGAGATAGGGCTGTCTAGTTTTCCTAAACCAGGAGGAATTTTAGAAGTATAAAGGTTCCCAGATGGCAAGGAGTTCCTTTCTAGTTATTTAAAGGCAGAGAAGAGAAGAGATAGGTAGACATAGATTCAATTGCTCTTCTTTTTCTTTTTTGTCTTTTGAGACGACAACTACATGATCTCACATTATAAGAATAAAAAATACTGAACCTTTCACTGACCAACATGTTGAGCAGCTTTTTCGTGTTTCAGTTTCTGAATCACATCATCATTTAGGGTTTTATTATACCAAAACTAATCTACACTTATATTGGTTCCACAGGAAATTTTCAAGCATCTCAGGCTTTGGAGATTTGTTGCTTCGGAGTTTGCTTTCTCATCAACGCCAGAGTTAATGTTTGGTCTATACTTGCTCTATTATTTCAGGGTATTTGAGCGACAGATTGGGTCTAACAAATATTCAGTAAGTTAACTTCTACTTTTCACAGCCTACAAAGATATTATTAAGTAAGCTGGAATGTGATAACCTGCTATGTTATTTGATATTTTACTTTTCACTGGTAGTCATGTTTTATTTAAAGCAGTAGTACTAGTTTCTGACTTCTAAATATAGCTAGAGTACATTTGTTTTTTTGAATTTTATATAAAACTAGGCTGGTCGAAATTTCCTAGAGCGTGATTGCTTATCTTATATTGTTTTTGAATATGCAGGTCTTCATTTTATTCTCGGTATTGGCATCATTTCTTTTTGAGGTCCTAGCTTTAGTGCTTCTTAAAGGTAATTTAAAGTAGCCTTGTAGATATCTGATCACTGGGAACGTGATGACTCTGAGGTTTTTGTAGCGTGTTTTCACCTCTTCTGGCTATGACTAATTTGTTTTTTTCACAGATAAATATTTATGCCATCATTTGTATACAAAATCTTGTGCTTCTGGCATCTTTTTTTTGCCTTTTCTCTTCATTTACATTAGTTAGAATATGGCAGTGACTATTTTCATAAAGATGAATTGCATAGTTGATACTTACTATATTACCACTTTGAGTTCGTTGAAGTTGATACAAGACTTCAGGCAAAATCATGTAGTTCTAGAGATGTGTTGACAGTTTGATTCCTGAGATTGTAAGATGCTACTTGTCCACTTTGATTTATTAGCAACAAGTTGTGATGGATACTGAAACTGTTGGAATTTTTTCAAGATAAACATCATATGGAGATGTAAGAATTAAAAATGACCACATGTAGAATCTAGATGGGGGGGGGGGGGGGGGGGTTGAATAGGATTGCTACTCATTTTTCATTTACATCAGAACTTGTTTAGTTCGGAAGGATATATCAGCGGAAATAAAAGAATTAAACTAAACAAAGCAAATAATCAACCATGGAACGACGTCAGAAAGCCACGAGGATTTTATAGTGTTTCGGATTGAAATCCTACATCCTCTTCCTCCTTGAGGGTCTTCCAGTATAGTATGAAGGTGTGATCACAAACCCAATCCAGTTAGCAGTACAAGACCGAACCCTAGACTAACCCTAAACTAGTCGTCTCTCCCAACAAAACCTACCATACAAGTTAAAAGCCTAGCCCACGCCCCAATTCCTCAATTAATACCAGCATGAGTACGCTGTCAAAAACCAATTGTCTCACCAGCGATTATAGAAAAAAATAGTCTAAAAGACAATATCGGTTTAAGCACGAAACTAGAAAGATTTTACAACTTTTTTCGTAAACCCATTCATCAGATGATGAAAGTAGTAAATCTGGAAGAACGATGACGATGAAGTGCAAGGGCAATTCTCCAAGAAGTTTTTTGATCGGGATCGCTTTAGTCGCTTCGAGGAAGCAGCCGAATCTCTGAGAGGAGACAATGGAAGAGATCTCCTTCAAATCCTAGAAAGCCTTCTCCTTTTCTCTCTCACAGTAGGGCTTTCCTAATCTCTGCAATCATTTTTTCTAATTCTTTTGGAAAACAGCCCTATGGATGTATATAAAGATATATCAAGGAGCAGTCCAGATTACATCTCTCGAAAACGAAGCGATGTTGCAGAAATTCGACGACTAGCTGGTTAGAGGTAAATGTCAGCTAGTGGAATATAGCCCAGCAGGCTCTGTAAGGTATTTACGAAATCTACCTTGCTGTCTTGACATTTTCGGCCGGCTGAAAAAGTTATTTCAGCGTATCAGCTGGCTGATTTTCAGTATCAACATGTAGGCGACAATATTAGCCTGTAGAGCTTATCGAGAGCTTTCCAAAAAGATATTATAATAGAAATTCCGGGAACCAAGTCAAAAGTTCAGGCCCCAGCAAGCTTTCAGCTTCCTTGCATGTTTTCAGCCTGCTTGTGCACATTTTCAGCCGCCTGCTTTGATGGACCAGCCTGGTGAAAAGCAGCAGCAGCTGCTGTTCAGTGTTTTACAACTCCATCTTCTCACCATATTTTCCTCCCATCTTCACACAACTTCATGTACTCATTTAGAGGTATTTTGATACTTTCATAAGCAGCATATTTCAACTCGAAACAGATTAAAAACATATGAACGTTTGTTATTGATCAAACTGAGTTGATTGCATCGACAAGGTCCCAACAGCACACAATACTAAGCATTTGCAAACTGCTATTTAACTTCAGCCTTTACATTTCAGCTTTCGCATCCCCTCTCCCTTTCTCACTTTTATCATGATTATTTGTGCTCCATAATCCGTGCATCAATCTTGATTGTGTAATAATACTCAGTATCTTAAAGTGTGTTGTAGTTTCTTTAAGCGGTGTTCTTGTCAGATGCAAAATGTATATGTAATGGTACTCCAGTTTTTTGCCAGTGCTAATCCCTTGGTTGTCTCATATGCAACAGTAACTAACCCCGTCTACTTTTTTTTTTTTTTGTAATTCCATGTTGATAGTTCTATTTAATTGATTCACTTCTCTCAATATCATTTGCAATTTTTTTTTTTTTTTTTGCAGATTCTACAAGCTCACTGGCATCTGGGCCTTATGGTCTTATATTTGCCTCCTTCGTACCCTTTTATCTTGATATTCCTGTCTCCTCACGGTTCCGGATATTTGGCATAAACATCAGTGACAAGTCATTTATATATCTGGCTGGTCTTCAGGTTGCAGCAATTTCAGATGTTCTGTTAATTTAGCTGTTACACCTTCTGCAGTTTTGTGCTAATTAGCTTATTTGTAATTTTCTTCTTAGCTTCTCCTATCATCGTGGAAGCGTTCTCTTGTACCTGGATTGTGTGGTATACTTGCTGGTGTCTTATATCGTGTCAATGCATTCAAGATCCGAAGGGTTAAGGTACTTGCTACAATCTAGATTCTAGAGCATCAACAAAATGCTTTAGGGGGAATTATGATGCAGCAATTTTCTATGCTTGAATGCTGGCTTCTTCTTCATACTTAATTCCAGTAAACATCTGCATTAGAATACTTAAAATCAGGCTATATCTTTCAAACATCTTGACAATTTTTTTTTTCTGTCATCAGTTCAATATGAAGTTAATTGATGGAAATGGTAAATGCATGTGAAGAATTATCAGAAATTAGAATGAAATGGTAAACATATTATTAAAGTCCCTAACCATTACATTACAACTTTTAAGTTGCGGTGAGGGTCGAGGGTATATTATTATATTCCGACATTGACCCGCAGATTAAGCACCCATTTTATGGGCTGAAACCTGGACTCATGTAGCGGTGTCAAATTTTGGAAGATACGCTTTAATTTGTGGCCGGTGGGATTTGAACCTGGTTTGCTTTAATACGATCTTAAAATCCCTAACCATTGCACCACAACTTGAGGGTTAAAAATTATATTTTTATATTCTAACACATATAAATCATTTTTAAAAATTTATAAGCCACTTAACGAAAGTGGCTGGGAAAGAAGAGGAAGAAAATAAGATATGAGTGAAGAGATGTAGAAGAAGATATTTCTTTTCTCATTTTGGGAGAGAACTATTTACCATTGTCACGTCTTACAGTAACTGCTCTTATGAGAGGTCTAAGAAGTACCTTATGTGAATATGGATATTGACTATCCTTATTGTAAAATTGTGTAATATATTAAAGCAGTTTAGTTCGGGTTTTCAGGTGACTAGGGTTGATGGTTTTTCCGGTAAATAGGGTTATTGGCGTGACCATATCCAGCATCCCGAATAGTGGAATTATGACTGGAAGGAAATCAGAAAGTTATAGTTCAAGAATATCTTTTTGTTCTAATAGATGGTGGTTAATGATTTTCCAATCCATGTTCAAGGTGTTAAACAAAATGGAGATACAATCATCTGAATTGCAAGGCAATAAATGTTCAAAGGTGTGAATGAGATAAGCTGCAGTATTGATTAACCTCAGAGATAATGAATAATAACCTTCTATTCTTATTCTTCTCACAGGGATATGAAACTCAGAAAGTTTGACTTTCATAATTAAGAAGTGTTTTCAGACTCTGAAAGAAAGCTTCCTACAATTTGACTTTGCTTCATAGTTCTCAGGCCTATGAGCTTATGATTCCTCCCACACAGTAATTAGGTGTCTTGATTGCTATGATTGCATCATATTAATGTCAAGTGTATTTCGTTTTCTATATTTAAGTAAAACATGGCTTCTAAGTTTCAGGCACACAACTTTTCTTGTCTAAATCTAACACGACTCCAATGTGCATGATGCACATCAAGGCAAGAGTCATTATCCTGTGCACATTAGACATGCATGTAGCATAGGTCATAGAACACACCACTAAGATACATCCAAGTAGAATCTATGTGCAATCTAGCATCTTTCGTCAGGCATAGAGACACAACAGGATATGTCACTTATGTCCCATAACTCAAGCATCAGTTATTAATATACTAGAGAAGAGGCAAAGGATCAGAAACGATAGTATATCCCAAAAAGATCCTTTATCAAAGAACATGTCAAAGTGTTGAAGGGCTTTATGTTGTTTCATTCCCATGGTCCTTTTACCCTGGACCTTTTCTTCTTCTTTTCTCGAACTATGACAATATACGTAAACAATTAGGTGTTAAATCCTATTTCTCCATTAGGTATGGAGTGGCTGTGCTTATCCGGATGCAATATATGTATGTAACTTTGTATATATGGTGGGCATGGATTTTGTGAGATTGAGATTTCATTATCTTAGCAGAGGACTTGCTAGCATATACGATATAATGTTGTATGACTTCCTGAATTGATTACTGAATTTTTGTGTTTTTGAAACATTTACAGTTTCCAGAATTCATATCATCATTTTTTGCGCGGTTAGCATGGTCCTCAGGAAGCTCGTCACGTACATCACCAGAGGAAATGCATACAAAACTTACCTTCTGCTGCTGCTCGTCGTGTAGAGGCAAGTTGCTTGTTCTTGCTTGTGACAAGATTTGTTCGTTGTCAGTTTTTCTTTAATTGAAATAATTTGGATATGTGACTTTTTGACTTATTCGCTTCTCATCACGAATTATTCACCTTAGACTGAAGTTTTTCTCAGTTGAAAAATTGCCCTAGCCTTTCTTTCTTATTAGTTTGCATACACTTTGCGATAAATGTTCAGCTTGTTACTGAAAATTTCTCATTATTTTCTGTCAAGATTAAAGAGGCTCTAATTTGTCTAATGGGTAAAATACATAATACTACTTTAATGTTTCACTACCTTTACTCATAGTTACCTTAATGATCTTCTCCAACACCATACTGCGAAAAGGACTAAATTTTCCTCTAAATTGAGGGCAAAAAAGTAATGATATCTGATATTTAAGGGGTGTAAGTCGCTAGACTCCATTGTCCAAGAGACGTACCTGCAATTAACCCCTCAAATAACCATTTCTTGTTTGGGCTTTTGCCATATTAGACACCGCTGTCTTTTTTAATTCTATATTAGACTCTCAAATCTTTATATTTCCAAATTAGACCCATAAATCTTCTTATTGGTTTGAAATGGGGGGCTTATTTAAGCAACTTACTAGATTTGATCTTATTGAAAACAACTTAATAGATTTGGAGTCTTATTAAAACAAATTTAATGAATTTAGGGTTCGAATTTGGAATTAGTAATATGAAGACACGGGGGTCTAATTTAACAAAATCCCTTTTCATCTTTTTTTTTTCTTCTTCTAATTTGATTGCAGAGGAACTATCAAGCAGCTGCGAGACCCGCAATGCCAGATCCTCCGGAGTCTTCTATTGCTACACTCGTATCGATGGGCTTTGATAGCAATGCAGCGAGGCAGGCCCTTTTGAGGGCTAGAAACGACATCAACGTCGCCACAAATATCCTTCTGGAATCTCATCAGTCTTACTGACTTTACTTCGCCAATATTCTTCCCTTAGAAATTTCAGTGGTCGAAAGAGATTATACAAGCTCTGTTCTTTGTAATATCCGATTTCTCTTGTAATAGTTAAGAGTCCATTCATTAGTAGAAGTGGCATAAATCCTCAGAAAATTCGGAGAAAACGAGTGGGTGTTGCACACCGAGTCTAGCCAGTTATGTTATATGCTGATATTTTTTCCCCCTCCCTTGGATGACGTACGTTACGGAAGAGACTACCACAGTGTAAAGTATGGACTCTTAGGATGCTATGTTTTTAGGCATGTTTATATCAAATTTTAGGTTCATATTATTTGTTTGCATCAGCACTCAGATTAGCTGCATCGCAGATTTTGAAGAAGAGGGGGGAAAAGACCCTACATTAGATTATCCATTCAACATTTTATTCAATCTCTGTTTTTTTTTTTTTTGGGTAAATTTGAAGACACTAGTATTGTTGGAATTCTGATTATCAATTCGACGTTATTTCACAAATTACCTCAATAGGCTACATATTTTTCAATCTTATTTATTTTCTTATATCAACTTTTGTTGAGCTCTAACTTATGTGTTTTTATTTTCATATCACATTTTTTAATTCGTATCTGTTGCAAACAAATATGGATATGATAAGTATCGCGATTTGTGATTGAAAACAAATACGACTGGTATGGTATCCAATCCCTTTATGAATACCAATCCGTTTACACTCAGCCTCAGGTCTATAAAGAGGGGTTAAGTCATGTAGTAAATTATGTATATATGATTTTCACTTTAAAATAGTTGTATAAATCTAATATTCGGTTTAAAAAAAAGAAAATAACCTATGAATAGAGTAGTAATTAAGTGAGAGATAATATAATCCGATAGTGTGGTTAGATTATAGCGATGACTATTGAAGAAAGAGAGTATAAATTAAAGGGGGAAAAAGAAATAAATAGGAGAGTTTTAGTTTTTTTACCAAGCAATTCTAGCCTAAAACTTATGATAATTTGTGCGAGTACAACTCTTGAAATGAAAAAAGTAGGATAAAATTTTTAACCGTTATCCTACTTCTAATTTTGTTCTAGATAACTATTATCCTACTTCTAATTTTGTTCTAGTTCTGGTTAACTAACAGTGTAAAGCTTTATAGCAGTTCTAGTTCTAACTGACTAACACTATTTAATTTTTAGTGTTTAAATTAGGAAATAAGGTAAAAGGCCAAATCGATTCCTGTACAATGGCTTCATACTCAAATTAGTCCATGCACTTTTCTTTCCCCTCAACTTAGTCCTTGCACCTCTCATTAGATGAAAACAAAGTTCTTTTTTAACATATGTTTAAAACTAGCAAATAACCCCCGCGTGACGCCGGGGAAAGTGAAAAGTGGGAAATAAATACTTGAAACTCGTTACAGTTCAATACTATTAAAAACATGAAAGTAAAATTTATAATATGCAAGAATTCAATGATAGATGCAATATGTATATCGATTGTAATAAGGGTGAAAGTTAGGAAATGCAAGGATTATCCATTGTAGACGTTCCAACATACATAAATTATATCTGGAAAAAGTAAAAGTTAAAAGATGCTCATCTTTCTGTTTTAGTTACCAAAAATAGAGAGTTTGTCTAATCAAAAGCAGGTGGAAAGACGAACCCTCTATTTTTCAAAATAGCTGAAGTATCTTAAACCATTATATTTACACGCCAAAAGGTGAAGAAAGGAAGCTTCTACGGTAACCCTTCATTAGAGTCGGTTTCACAAGCAACCCCTTGTTCAATGTAGAGGCAACTCTTTCATCAGGACCAGCTCTTTCATCAGAAGATGCAACTGAGTTAACCGTGTTTTGCATTGGGTTGAATGCTCTAGGAGACCAATCCACTGAACTGACTGTATACTGCCCTTTCAAGCTTGACTTGTGATTTGCATAATCATGTCGGAACACAAACTTAAAATTTTTTCCAATAGCTTGGTGATAAGATTGTGTATCTTGAAGAGCCCATTGCCCTGAGGTTATATCGATCTATTTAGTTCTCTTTCACATATTTCACTTCTATTTTATTTATTTTCTATTTCAATGCTAATTAAAGCGAGGGGGGAAATTATATCATCTAATAATATACCTCTAATTTAAGTTGCTCTAGCTCTGGAGCATGGATTTGGAGAATTTCTTCTGCGTCGTGGTTAAAGACCACAAGTTCAGGCTACCAATGGGATCCTTGACATCGATTGTGATCTTATACCTAGCATGTCAATGAGTAATGCATGTTTATAATGCATGTTTATACTAGTTACATAGAATGTAAAGCTACCAATAAGAATCGTTAAGACATGGTGTTGTTTATATGTAATTGATGCGATGTTGTGGTGTTGTTTATATGTAATTGACGCGAGGTTGTAATGAAGAGACCTTTGTGTTGTTTTCCCTTGACGGTTGGCACAATTCGTGTTTGGGCACCCATAATGGTCATTAGCTTCATACTTCATTGTTGTGCGCAGCGGAAATTTCGACAGCACCTCTGGTGCACAATAAGAGAGTAGATCTCAACTAAATCCCTATTTCACAATGAAACAAGAACCGAAAGTGATATATCTCAATAAAGTGGAATATACACTCTCTCTTATCAGTTCTAGGGCTGACTTGTCGAGGGAATCTAAACAAACTATTACAAATCACAGCAAGACAACGAATTTTACGTGGTTCGGCAAGTTGCCTACGTCCACGGGGTAAGGAGGAGGGAGATTTACTATTAGAGAGAGAGAGAATACAAATAGGATTTACAATCACACAAATTAAACCCTTAAACAAGTTCTCAAATCTCACACAAATATCTCTTCCAAAGGGATGCACAAAGCCTTGCTACAACCGAAAAGACCCTGCAGTTTTTTTCTCTGCACTTTTCTTTTCACGCCACTGTAGCCGCTTTTTCGACCTTGTTCAAATTTTCCTCTTGCCGCAGCCAAAAAAAAAAAAAAAACTCAGCCGTTCTTTTCTTCCTTGCACTCTGCCTAGGAACTCACGTGAATATTTATAGCATGAGAGTGAATCGGGTAGGCTTTCTTTTTGTCTGCTAATCATGCGCAAAGACGCGCTGGCCCTTTCAAAACTAAGCCGACACCAAAGCATCCAAATGCCCCACTTGTTATGTCCAGTGCATCGTGAAGTTAATTCATGACAACGGACTCAATCCACAACAAGTCGGGAACCCGAACGAGAGTCCAAATAATCTCACCCCCATCAAAATCAACTAATCCAACCGACTGCATCGTAAAGACTGCCTACGTATCCTCTTGCCCAAGGAATCAAGCCGAACGTAGTTCATCAAAAATGGCCTCCAAAGACCTCAACACCGAAGAATGTTCAAAATCTCCAAACAATGACCAAACTTAACACCTGAAATAACTTTGGTCAACATATCCGTAGGGTTATCCTTTGTATGGATCTTCTCCAATATGACATCACCGTCATCCAAAACATCACGAACAAAGTGGAATCTAACATCAATGTGCTTTGTGCACGTATGGTAAACCTAGTTCTTTACCAAATAGATAGCTGACATGCTATCACAATACAACCGAATGGTCTTCTGTGCAATCCCCAAGTCCTCTAACAATCCACGTAACCACAAAGCCTCCTTCACAGCTTCAGTCACTGTCATATACTCCGCCTCTGTAGTAGAGAGAGTTACTGTAGACTGAAGTGTATATCTCCAACATACCGGTGTTCCTGCTAATGTGAACACATACCCAGAAGTAGATCGGCGCTTGTCAATATCCCCCACATAATCTGAATCCACATAGCTAATACATTACCGCATTGTCTTCTCATTCTTCTAAAATACTAAACCAACATCCATGGTACCTTTGATATACCGTAGAATCCACTTCACGGCCTCCCAATGACCCTTCCCGGGGTCATGCATGTACCTCGATACCATGCTCACGGCCTGTGATAAATCTAACCTCGTACACACCATCGCATATATCAAGCTACTTACCATACTGGCATATGGAACCTTCGACATATATTCTCTATCCTCAACTAAAACAGGAGACATCAAAGTTGAAAGTTTGAAGTGGGGAGCCAATGGAGTACTCACTGCCTTTACATTTCCATCAAAGCTGAATTTCTTCAACATCTTCGTAGATAACTTCTCTGTGTAAGCTTCAATCTCCCCTTCGCCCTGTCTCTCTCGATCTTCATACCTAATATTTTTTTCGCCTCTCTAAGATTCTTCATCTCAAACTCAGATGACAGCTCCTTTTTTAACTTTCGAATAGCCGAAGAATTCCTAGAGGCAATAAGCATATCATCAACATATAGTAACAAATAGATTTACTCACCATCCTATAGTTTGTGCATGTAAACACATGGGTCATATGGGCTCATCGTGTACCCTCGGCCAATCATAAAGCCGTTGAATCTCTTGTACCATTGTCGCAGTGATTGATTCAATCCCTAGGTTCGTCAACCGACGCCAGTCCTCTTGGAACGATCCCCGACTCTCGCCACACACTTTTCTCGGTGTACAAGTGTATTACAAAGTAATTCTCACAATAAGGCACAATTACAATAATTGTTTGTTCTCAAATATGGATGAGAATGTTGGCCTTCTTGTTTTGATGATGATTTACAAATAATTTACTACTAATATTGTTTGTCTAGTGTTTGTGTATTCCTATGTATTGTAGACAAACAACGTAGTTAGAGGATGGATGGAATAGAGCTTCAACGATCATATCCAAAGGAGGTTGGCGGAATATCGGTGAAGCCTTGCAATTCAAGTTAAAGATCAAGTTCAAGCTTCATCCGCATGTGTACCAAGTCGAGCTTAATGAAGATCAAGATCTAGCTTGGGTAATTTAGTTTAGGATTTATATTATGTGTGTTATATACTCTAAGCTTAATATCTATACACACACATTTATTGGTTTCTTCGTATATATATATAGTTATATATATATACATAAGTTTTGGTTTCTATGTATATATATAGTTATATATATACATACATATGTTTTTGAGTTTTTATAGTTATATATATGAAATTATATATTTCATATTTTCTATTGTGTTTTTGAAAACATTGCATAGAATATGCAATTTTGTGAAAATATTATATTCTTAGTTTTTGGACTTAACAATAATCATATACATATTTTATTAAGTCTATATAATCATTGTGCAAAGTTTCAAAACATGGTTTAGCCAAAATATCAAAATTCACATGTTTCCATTTTCATGTTTTGGACTATCTTGCAAAATGATGATATTTTACATTTAGGAAGTCCTTTCTGATAACATGTTTATTAAGCTATTTCTAAAGTTCAAAT